ACACACACATACACATTCCACACTCTCTAATGCTCAGCTTCCAGCTTGCCACACCAGTGATTGCTGCAATCATTCTAGTTTCATTATCTCAGCTGCAGATTTATTGTCGGCGACCCCAAGCGCTGGACAGCCGCAGCATCTATCAACAGCAATTGATTTTATTTTCGCTTTATTGTGAACCTCCCTTACCCTCTCCCTCTTTGACTGGTCAAATTTTATGGCAATTTTCGTGTTTTTGCCATGGCAATTGCTTTGCAGCTTATCAGGCTGCTCTAATGCCTGGAACCTTCAACTCCCGCTCCAACTGCCCAGCTCAATCCTAGCCAATTGCAGCGCAGCGAATTGCATATGGAAATGTGAAAATAAAACACAAATTTTTGCTGACATCATATACAACCCCGCCCAGCACTCCCCTCTCTACCTCTCTCTCTCTCTATCGCTTTGTATTAAGTTTCGGCTTTGGCCTCATTTCTCGCCATTCGTTTTGATTGTTGCGATTATCAGTTGTTAATATCCATGAAAATGATGAGACCAACAGAAAAATGCTCACAGATAAGCGTGGACGCATGCCTCGTTAATGGACAGCATGAAAATTGGCCAAATGCCAGAGAGATCGTCGCACTCCTCACACCCCACTCACCACTCCCCATAGCCGAAGCTACCCCAGACATATACAAATTATAATAAGTTGTGCGCATATTAATGTTTCATGTTTTTGTTGGGCATGTTTTATGCGTGTTATGACAAACGACTGACTAATTGACTAGCTGTTTGGCTGATTGACTAACTGACTAGCTGACTGACTGATTGACCGCTTGATTGGGCCGCTGTGTATGCGTTAAATGTGTGAAATTATTTGTGCGTAGCGGCATTATCATTTTACAAAGATGTTTATTCATACGATGACAGCAACTAGACATGCTCTATGTGTGTGTGTGTGTAGGTGTGTGTGTGTGTGTGGCAACCGCAAGTGGTTGCAAAAGTTGCCCAAAACTCAATACAAAGCAACAGCAAACAATACAAAGCTCAATTGGCATCTGCATAAAAAATCCCATATCTACTTTAACTACACTCTGCAACAAAATCAAGTGACTGATATGGGATTTCATAATACTATGGCTTATATAAACATAAGTATATACTATTCTTTTACAACTTTATATCTGCGATTGCTTAGAAGGGCGCCAAGAGCTAAAGAGATGTCTCAATTGAAATGTGAAATGTGTAAATACATGTATGTCTCAAATAAAAGGCGAATATCTATATACATATATCTATGATAACTAAATAACTGTGATATATATCTCTAGTGTTGGTTTAGGTCTTCAGTAGTAAAGCTGGCGTTTTCAAATTCTTCATCGTCTGCCAAAAAACCTGATGTTTTTTATCATATATCAACACTTCTTGGGTCTCAAGACATTGTTTATAAATAAAATATAATATATTTATAAATTTATTCTATTAAAGTATTTTTTATCTAAGTCTAAGCTATATTTGTTTTGAAAATGGCTCACGATTTATTTTCGCTATTTTTTTTTTTTTTTTTTTTTTTTTTTTTTTTTTTTGTCTATTATAGTTTTATTGCAGCTTTTGTTGTTGACTCTATAGCGCATTTATAGCTATTATTTTAATATAATAAAATAATATCTTTTGATTATATTTTTCGCTTAAAAAATCATAGAATATATTAATTTAAATTAAATTAAACAAAAAAAAAACTTTAAAAAATATGTGATATTAAATATAAAGTTGCGCGCTGTCTTGAAACATGAAAAATAAATTAATATTTTCATTAGCAAAACACGCGCTAGATTTGAATTCTAGCCAAAGTTTGTATCCATTTAATATGGCTAGATAAAATTTCAAGGGGTTGATTTAAAGCTATATTCAAGCCCTCTAAAAAAAGATTATGACTTATGCTAAGTTAAAATTAAATTTAATATACATATATAAATGATATATGTGTATATAAACACTATATACAACAGCTTTCATTTTTAACCTCATATATTAACATATTATTTAAACAATCTACTTGTAGACTTTGCAAGCCTCATTTATGTTGTCTAGTGTTGAGCTCTCCAGCTTAGTTCCTGTACGCAATGAATGGGACCGCTTAGCTGGCTAAACGCTGGGAATAAAGCCAAGTTGTATAACACTCCAAGGGCCGAGCTCTGATCTCGCCGAAACTCTAAGCTACAATTGTGACTCTAGCTGTGACTGCGACTGCGACTTGCGACTGTGAGTTGTGACTTATGACTGTGACTGTGCCATGATCACTTTATATTCATTGACACTTAGTGTGAAATTCGTACATCATAAAGAGCGTTGCTAAGAAGTGGATGTCTAAATTGCGGTTGCCCCGCGCTCACACACACACACACACGCAAAGAGATTCATCTACTCCTGGTTACAAAAGCTGGCTTTTGTGCAAATGCCGACGGTTTTGGGAAAGTGGGCCCGACACCCAAAACACAGCCAGATGATGGCCATAAAGCCGAAGCCAAAGCCAAACAGAGTGAGCCGACGGCGGCGGCAGGCGAGGTGCTAATTCACTATTAAAAGAAATCAGAAAAAAAGAAGAAGCACAACACAATCGAGGCTTAGCTCAGTTGGCTGTATTCTCGACTGTCGAAGGGTTTCGGGTTTGTCTCTCAGCTGCGCTCAATTTCCCACTCATCATCTCTCATCTCAGCTCACTGCGCGCACCAATAAAACTTAATTTTGTTTGAACATGGCAGGAGGCGGCGGGGCGGGAGGGGCGACCAGATTGCCCCCTCATAAATGCGTTTGGGCTGGGCCTTGAGCTATTGAATTATGCATTGTTTTTCTATTTATTTGTGTGTGTATTTGGTTTTTTTTCTCATCTCATCTCTGTTCATCTCGTGTTCGAGTTGTGGGAGAAGTTCTCATGAAGTGTCGGCCATTCATTCGAGTGCCAAATGCCATTGATTGTGCGCAATAAAATGTTGAATTGCGTCTGGAATTAGATATACCCGCCTAATTGATAATAATACCGCATTTATATTTTGTTTGGAAATCTGAAAATCTGTTAACTTGTTTTTATTTCGGCTACGAATCACGCAGCTGCTGCTGCTGCCGACTGACTGACAAATGTTGCTCGCTAATCCACAGCAATTCGCTTGTAATTCTCCTCACTCCCTCTCTCAGTCTCCTTTTTTTATGGTGCATAATTTTTCAATAAACCTGCCTGCTAATATTTTCAGCACTTGGCAAAAACAACTTAATCCCCACATGATTAATTATCAACAACCTGCTGGCCGGGCAGTCACACCCCTAAACAGAAATTAATCGACTTGTTTACCCCGCCCATCAAAGTAATACACACTCGCACTCACACACACACATTCGCACACCCCTCGCACTAGCTCAGCCCACAGTTGAGGCCAAAGCCGTTCCGTTTGCGCTTTTTAATTTAGTTGCCTCTGGACCCAAGTTCCCTGACCCAGGTCCCCAGGGTAGACTCACTGCTCTCTCTTCCCAGATACCCTGTGAGTATAGAAAAAGGGGTATAATATAGATATTGTATTTATGAGAATGTAAGATATAACTACTAGCTATCTCGTTCTATTTATTTAGCTATCAATCTATCGAACTACATATGATATTCGGAATTAATGGATAAGATAATATAAGATACATACTTGTAAAGCAGTGAAAACTTGGAAATCGCTTTCGTACCTTAAGAAGTAGAGGCAACTCCATTTACAGGGCATCATCTAGTCTTTGCCCTCACCGAGCTCCCTTGTTTTTTATGTGGGCTATCTGGCATTATCAAATCATAAAATGTTGCCACTTGGCTGCCGCGTGCAGAGATTCCCAACTGCATCCCCCTATAAAAGAGGCAGCGAAAGGGGTGCGACGAACATTTTTTATGCGCTGTCAAAACATGTTTTGATAGAGCGCACACACACACACATAGACAGGGAAGAGATACATGAATATATTGTAACTGTGAATATACATACATACATACATTTCTGTATATTTAAGGGTTCAGTTAGGTGGGCTTAGCTCACGTTGATAAGGCGAGGCAATTGACACCCTTTGAGCCAGGCAATTGAACAATTTGAAACACATGTTTCTGGTCCTGGCAATTAAATACAAATTTGATTAGAGACGAGGCCCCTTTTCATGCACGTATGTGTGCGTGTGTGTGCCTGTATGTGTGTTTGTGTTTGTCCTTGTGCCAATGATTTCTCAATTATGACAATCGACAATGACAAAACAAACAAAACACGGCACAGAGTGAAGCAATTAATTAGCAGGACGAGGACACTGATACGCATTGACAGGATAAGCAAGGCGAGTCGAGGCGAGTCAACCTGACGCGTGGCAGGGTGGCCAACTGCCTGCTGCTTGTGGACAAGGACATTGCTGCAAAAGTGCCAATGCAATTGCAATAGAGAAAAGGATATTTGGCACACAGTTGGATAGGCGCTGCGTGTGACAATCTGGCGGAGATCGTCTCGCTTGCTCCTCGTCCTGCTTCAATTGCATTAATATGCCATTAAGGACTTGTGCCACATGCGTTCGCCCCGCCTGTGGGTGGGCCCCGCTGCAGCCTGAAGGTCAAGCGTGCCACACGACAGGCTCACTCGCCACCTCTCTCTCTCTCTCTCTCTCTCTCTCTCTTTCGCTCTCTCGAGGTCAAGATCAGCAGCTGCTGCAAAAGGTTAACTCCACATGCAGCCAGGTAAGCAGCCAGCAGTTGCCCAGGTAAATAGAAATGAGAAAATTTGCTAAATTTTGTTTGTTTTTGCATTTCATAATTTTATTTTTGATTTTTGATTTTGGTTTTCGTTTAACTAAAGTTAACTAAAATTACAAGCTAGTTTACAATTTATGTACAACTGATAAATAGTTTTCTTTTGTTCCGATTCTGCACACTGAGCAGAGGCGAGGGGGCGAAGGGAGTGGATGGGGGAGTCCACAACAACAACTAAATACTAATTTGTACAATTGACAAGGGGAGGAAGAGAGAAACAAGAGGTGGAGCAGGGCAGGGCTGGGCAGGTGCCTACGCCTCAGTCTTGTAGGGCTTGAACAGCTTGGGCTTGGGCTCCGCAATGACTGTGTTGCAAGCCGGAGGCGGGGACATGTCCGACGCTGGCCGCTTGGCACTGGGCATCAGCAGACCGGGCGCTGGCAGCGGGCTGCTGGTGGTGGCAACGACGACGGCGGCGGAGCTGCGCAGCGGACTGAGACTGCGATCGAAGACCTTGGTGTGATCGGAGCCGACGGGACTCAGCGACAGCGTGGATGAGTGGGGCGACGAGGAGGACTGCAGATCCAGCGGTGGCGTCTGCGTCTTGGGCAGCTGCAGCTGGCCGGCGGCATAGCTGGGCGGCATGCTGGCAACGGCGGCGGCGCCCAGCATGGCGGCGGGATAGCCCATGGGCATGGCGGCCTGCATGGCGTGCGAGTGGCTGTGCGGATGCATGTGCGGTGCTGGCGGCGCTGGGCGAGCGGGAATGTGATAGGGCGCATAGCGGTACTGGCCGTACGGCGAGTGTCCCGGCACTGGCATGGTGGGCATGCCGGTGGCCAACATCGGGTTGGCCGCGGCAGCGGCGGCGGCAGCAGCGGCGGGTGCATAGGGCGGATAGGGCATGCCCACGCTATTGGCAGCCGCTTGCAGGATGGAAGCGGCGAAAGCGGGGTCGGAGTAGACGGCAGCGTAGGGCCAGGCGACGGCGATGCGCTGACGCTTGTCCTTCATACGGCGGTTCTGGAACCAGACCTTGATTGTCGACTCGGGCAGGTTCAGCTGGGCGGCCAGCTCGCAGCGGCGTGGCCGCGACACATAGTTCTCCTTGTAGAACTCCTTTTCGAGACGCGCCAGCTGATCACGTGTGAAGGCAGTTCGATAGCGACGAACTGACGGATCAGCGGGAATCTCGGAGTTGCGGCTGCCGTTCAACGAGTTGTCTGGACTGGACAGGCACTCTATGGAGAGGAGAAGAGGAGAGAGATTCGGTTAGCCAATTGTCGATTGGAGCTACGTTTGCATTAGCCGGACACTTACCATTTGGCGAAGGCGGCGGCGTTTGTGGTTTGCCGTATTGTGTTGAGATCAGATCGACAACCAGCGGCTTCTGGTCAACGGCGGTGCTGCTATCATGATGATGGCTCTCCATGTTGTAGGTGCGGTATCCGTGCATTTTGTTCAATATATATATAGATGTATTTATATGTGTTTGTGTGTGTGTGTGTGTGTATGGGCGTTGTCACTATCTCTCCGAATAATCAAGTCACAGTGCTCGGACTGGGCAGTGCGAATGCGAAATGCGAAACGACTAAACGACTTAACGGTTAAAGCGACGATGCTGACTCTGCGATGGTTACAGCTCAAGTGTATCGCTCTCAGCTACCCCGGCTCTCTTTTATACCAAGGCAGCAGAGCAATGGCTGCCGCAGGCAGGCCAACAGCCAATGAGCGCGGCTTGTGCTGTGCGCGAGCGAGACGGCACTAGGGCTGTGCATTGAGTGCTGCTATTGCCGTTGCCTCGCACTGCCTGCTGCGGTGCAATGAACGATGGTGCTAATGTTGTGGTGCTGCCGCTGCCGCTGCTGCCGTTGCTGCTGCTGCCTTTGCTGCTGCTGGCTGACAATTATGCGACGATGAAGGCAATTACGATGCCGGAACAATGGTACATAAAAAAGGAGCCGGGGCAAAAGCGCAAGCAAAGCGTGATAATGCGCAGCCTGGCGGTGGTCCAAGCCAGCGGCAGTCGCTGCTGCCCATAATCAAGTTATCATGGAGCAGCAGCAGCGGCAGCACCAGCAATGCTCTCTCTCTGTTCTCGCTCTCTCTCCCTCGCTCACGCTGTCGTTCGTTCATGCTGCGAGAGGCGAATGCGATTTCATATATTCATAGCGTATGAGCGAATCTTTTGTTTCGCTTGTCCGCAAGCGGGCAGCGCCACGGGTGCGAACGAGACGTGAGTGGCCCCCTTAATAATGGGATTTTATCGGCTTCATCAGGCAGAAGAATGATATGGCATAATGCACAGAACGAGAGGAAGAGCGACCAGAGCGCCAGCAACCCCCTTTCACAGCTCCCGCTCACTCGCTGGCAGTTTGGCATATCGATCGAAGGCAGCCAAATAATTTGCTCTTTTATGAAGTCTTAATATTATGCCGCACGTTTAACGGGCTCACACTTGGGAGAGGGAGAGGGAGAGGGACAGACGCAGAGGCAGAGAGCGAAGGCAATGGCTTAAGTGTGAGGGAGAGTGCTTGGCGTCGCTGCTTTAACAGTAAATGAAGTTTATCTGAGCAAATAAAGCAAAACTTTTGGACAACGCCCACAGAGGCCATCCCACAGACTCACACACACACGCATAGCCGCACATGCATAAACAATGAAATACTTTTGGGGGCGCAGTTGTTGAAACTTAATTTGAAAAGTTTCAGTTTAGTTGCGGCAAACATTTATTATGATGATATAATCATGTTGCCTAAAGGCGCAACTGTACCCAGAGCGCAGTTACAAGGGGGCGCCAATTGCGAGGGGCGCGTCTGGAGGCAGAGCGAGCTAAAGTGCTGTCAGTTTTTTGTTTTCGCTTGTATTTGATTTTTATTTTGCCTTGCGTAAGCGTGCTTGATACCTGCGCGGGTTTTTGGGCTAGGGTTTTGGCTTAGGCTTAAGCCGCTCAGGGAGAAAAGGCAAAAAATAACCAAATTTCAGCAAACGCTAATTATGTCATATAGAAGCGTATGTGTGTGTGTGTGTGTGTTTGTGTGTATAGCTAATCCTTGTCATCATTATGCATGTTTATGACTTATGGATCAAGCGCGTCTAAAGCCGTTCGCCAAAAGTTCAACCAAGTCAAGCCCCGCTCTGCTCAGCCCTCTGCCTCACCCTCTTCCTCACACTCTCCCTCGCACTGCTGCTGTCTAATCCACTAAATAAACAAACAAACAAAGATGTTGCGGCCTGTGCGAAAAGGCCCGTCAAATGCCAGCAGCTAAAGTCGAAAAGGGAGTTAAAGTCGCCGCTTAAACTGAAAGTTAAAGTCGCCTTGCCTGAGGGTAACCCGGTCAAACACGGAGTCAAACACAATGACATGACATCAATTCCAACTAAATCACCTTAGTCGAGAGAAACTAGAGCACGGCGACGGCGAGCTGGCTGAGAGTCGAGTAGAGAGACAGACACAGCGTGTGTCCAAAATCCACATCCAATTTCCTAGTTTGTCTCTGACGCAGCGATTGTTCAAGATGCTGCAATAAAATCTAACTCGAAAGTGAAAACTGTTTGCTCAAAATCTTTGTAAAATCGACTAATAATGTCGCTGATGGCAAACGGATTAACGCACAAGCAGCTCAATGCCAAACCCATGGATGGATGGCTGGCTGGATGGATGGATGAAGGAAACCTTCAGCCTACAGATCTCGCTCAAATTCAATTTCAATTTCAGTTTCACTGTCTCTCGCTCTCATTGTTATGCATTACTAAGTAACTCAACCAGTTGTTGTTGTTGTTGGTGTTGTTGTTGCCGTTGTGAGTTAGTTAAAATTATTGGGTTATATTGCGCGGCAATTTGCATTAACTCGCCGAACATCGGCTCTACCTAAGCTCCTGCATAGCGTTCTGTGACCTGATCGAGTCGCTGTGTAAGCCCAAGCCTTGCCCACTGCCGAACCCTAGCCACAACCTTGCCTATTGTGCATTCATCTGCGCTTTTGTTCATTGTCCGTCCGCGGTCCGGTGTTCGCTGTCCGGTGGTTTTGTTCTACGGCAGAATGAGCAAACCTTTTTTCAACGAGCAAATCAACGCGACACTGCGGCAGCGACAGTAAATACCCTTTATGACGTCTCAGGCAGCGGCAACGACAACGAGAACGGTATTCTCTAACCTTTCACTTCGCGCCAGGCGAAAGTGAGCTGAGTTGAGTTGAGTGTACCTGACCCCTACCCTCTGACCCCTAACCGATCACCGGCGAACACTTTCGAAGCGGCTTGGTTTGGCTTGGCTTGGCTTGGCCCAAAACCTCAGTTCATGGAAGTCGCCTTTTGTTGCCCTTTTGCCATTTTATTGGCATTTTGCTAGCACAAAGCGCCGATCTCGCTGATTATGCTGATTATGGGAAGTACACACACACACACACACACAGGGCTCATACATATGCATATTATGGCTTATAGAAATTAAGCCCTGTTTATCTAATTATTACTGAGCCATTTGTCAATCAAATTTGCGAATTTTCTTTTTAGTTTTCTTTTGAGAATTAGGGAATTTAGATGAGTTCTGATGATAATTTTAATGAAAATTTATTTATAAGTTTTTTTTTATGAAATTTATGATATATTTCAAGTACAACTTGACCTTTTTATCTAAAATTAAAATTATTAAAATGATATCTTCTATAATAATAGTCTATGACGCAGGCAGGCGAATTTTTAAGGATATGGGCACTGCCTATAAATTCAATTGTAGATCATAATATAGTAATTTCAGATTCCCATTCATTCATTCATTTCCTTTGAAGCTGCTTTAAGAGTATTTTTTTGTGAATTTCTATATACATACATCTCTAGTCTTTTCAATGTGTGGCTCTAGTTGGAATAACTAAACCATTGAACCGTCTATCTCATCAAGAGAAATCAGTTATTTATTTAAAATTTAGTTATTTATTAATCAGTTATTTAGATAATATTGTGTGTCAGTTATTATTGTATTATATCATAAATATATATATTATATGTTACTAATTATATTGTCATATATATTGCTAGGGCATATGAGAAAGTAATTAATATACCGTAACTTCGTTAAAGCTGCCTGTAAACAATGTGTAAGCTGTGTCTAGTATACTTTAGAGCTATGTGGGTCACTGTGTTTAGTTAGGGCGATCTATCTGTTTAAGATATATATTTATCTTAATTTTCTTTAATATGATAGCTTAAGCAGTTTTTATGATCGTGCTTTAAGATCTCGAGATATGAATGGAAAATAAATGTCAAATAGTTCAAATAGAAAATAATTTGCCATTATATGAGACCTCATATATATAATTTATATAATTTAGAAGTAAATGATTATTATTAATTGATATATATTTATTCATTGAATCCCATTTTTGAGCAATTAAAAAATTAAATAATTTGTCAATTTTAGGTTCTGGTTCTAGTTACCAATAGCTGTCTACAGTTCGCTAGATTTATGATCGTAATATGCGCTTAGGGCACGCCCTAATAAAAATATGCCCGGGCAGTTGGTAAAAACGTGGCTGCGCACTGAATTATGGCCACAATTAACAGGTAAGTAGGCAAAGCCGGGAGACTACTCTATATATATGTATATCTAGGCATATAAATGGTGCTAAGTAACCTTGTGAGAAAACGTTCGCTCTCTGTGCGTTTTCATGTTTTCCAAAACGTTTTTCCGGCCCGGCCATAAAAACCCGTGAAGAATTAAAAAATTAGAGCAGTCGGCAGTCGGCAGTCGGCATTTTTCTGGCTTCGGGGAAAAAAACTAGCGCAGCGAAAAAATGCAACAATGAAAACAAAAAAGTTTTTGATCTACATTCCTAATATACGGTCCTCGGAATGCGCGACAGGACATGAACAGCAAATGAAAATTCCGCGAACGAACCATACGACGCTACGAGCCCATAAAAATCTGCATAAACATCTATATATTGTTTGCATGTATATGTTGAGGAAATAAGTTCTTGAACCATTTCTTTGCCGCAAACATAACAAAAAGGCAAAACGGGACCAAAAACTCAAAAATCTCTACCAAAAATTTATGACAAACAATCTTTCTTTATGCCACACAGAACAACAATGGAAAAAATCGAGAACTGAAATACATATACATCTATTTATTTTTTTTATTTTCGTTAATTTTTATATTGAGGCAAACGCGAAAATGAGAGCAGCGCATTGTAGGATATTTAGAGCAAGGATATATGGCTTTATGTTGGGTGAGATGCGTTGGAAGCAGTGAATGTTTAGAAAACATCAAACAATAGAATTAGAACGGAAATATGAGCAGAGAAGATTTGAGATTAGAGACTGAAATTTTGTTTATTTTGATTTTTTAAATTTATTTAAATTAATTTCTTTATAGGTGTTTGAGAAGCATAATCTTTTAAGAAACTAAATATTAATATATACCCTAAAAATTAAAATGCAGAAATAAATACAAATTTATAATTATATTCATCAAAATAAATTCTTAAAAAGTTTAACTTTAATTTTAAATACAATTTTTAGTATATATTTACTCAAATACATTTTTAAATATTTTTAATTACTTTTTTATTTATCAAAAAATATAATTTTTATATTTTAATTATTTTTTAATTTCATTTTTTTTTTAC